AGTTTCTTTTCATTTACTTTTTCTCCTCCCAGATAAAGTTGAGTCACCCCCCAGGTGACCTCATGCTGACATCTTCTAATCCTCTTGGTATAGTGAACTGGGAGAATGTTAGCAAGAGAGAAGATAGGATAGAAAGATGAGGCTGTCTTTTAAGGTTGTGGAAAATGGTACCATCCTAGGTTTCATCCTATTAAGTTGCAGCAGCGGTTACCAGTCCTCTGAGTTACTATGGTTTCTTTCAGTGGTAGTTATTTTCCTCGGATACTGGCCAGTATCATTCTTTCTGCTTTTCCTCCTCCTCCCAGCTAGGCCTGCCACTGCTCAGCCAGGCACTGGGGAAAGAGGCCAGTCAGAAGAAAAGCAAATGCCTACTACTGGTCTAGTCCTTTAGTTTCTCTGTTGCCCTGCACAAAACACACACCCTCCAAAACAATAATGCATTAAGGCAAGGAGATAGAAAGGCCCCAGAGACCACTGCGGGCTGGCCTAACTTCAGGAACTGCCTTTTAAATAGCTGCCGAGGGAGATCAGACCATTTTCTGGCGGGGCTTTTATGTGAAATTCAATCCAGAGCACACCTCACCTCCCATTTGGCCTCTGGACATAACCCACAACCAAGTTAATAGTCCCTGGGTGTACTCCAAATTAAGGACCAGAAAAACCATGCCCAGTTTGCAGCAGACTTGGTCTGACCTGCTCATTTAAGAAGTCATGGGCTTTAATTCTGTCTCATTAGCTGGTGTTATCAAGCCCATTTGGAATTGGGGTACAAGCTTCTAAACCCTGGGATTTACAGGCCTAGAACAGGGCAGTGTGGGAGGATAAGTCAGCCAACCAAGAGTCTCTATTTTCTGCTGGCATGTTTTATTCTTATTGACGTATCTGTCAAAGTTATTTCACTGTTTTTCCCCAGGGCATTATGGCTTAAAAATATTATGAAACAAATTGCACTGACATTTAATAGAGTATTACTAAGTGCCAGACGCTATTCTGAACACTAGCCTTGTACAGTAAACCAAATATACAAAAATCCCTGCCCTTGTGGAGTTTAAAGTCTAGGATGGAGCTGAATAAACAAAGTAAGTAAAAATAGTAGGTTGAACAATATGACATGACCATTTTTGTAGGTAAAAAATGGTCAAATACGGACAGTTTCATATGACTCAAAGTAATACAGTCTGTGTGTAATAAGTTTTAAGAAGACATAATAAAGCAAGGAAGGGGGATAGCAAGTAGGGAGAAGTAGGTGGTTGAAATTTTAAATAGAGTGGACTGGAAGACCACACTGGGAAGGTGGCATTTGAAAACAGCCTGGAAGCCGTGTGGTAGGAGAGCACTGCAGGTGAGAGGACTAGCATGCCTGATGTGTCTGAGGAAAAGCCGTGTGGCTGGAGCAGAGAGAACAGGGTGTGAAAGGCAGAGGTGAGCTCAGCTAAATCCCATGGGGCCTTGAAGGCCAGAAAAGGACGCTGGGTTTTATTGACAGTAAAATGGGAAACCTTTATGGCTTTTTCTCAGTCATTTTACTAGAAAGCAAAAGAATCTGTTCAGATGATGTTTGTGCTTCACTAAAGGATGCTCACTGGGGCCCAGGAACCACTGCTCAGAAGCTGCGCTGGGCCCCAAGAGCAGGTGAGGCCAAAGTGTGGCAGTCACCTGAAAGGGCCACGTGAAGCACTAAACTGTCTGGAACTCCTTTGATAGAAGAGCCTTTTTCTAAGTACCCAGAAAGATGACAAATGTGACTTTATTTTTTGCTTACCTGAAGGCCTACACTTTTCTTTCTCTCAGACGCAGGTCTTGCATTTCCATGGCATTAGCCATGCTCATGACAACTCTGCTGAGGGCAAGAAGGAGAGGTCCACAGCTAGGACAGGGTAGCCAGTGGCAGCTTCCTCCCCGACCCAATAAGAATTTGGATAAGGCGCTCTTGTGTTAGTCTAGGCCGGCTGCCGGGTCTGGGAGCGTGTGGTTTCAGCACACAACACATCCACTGGGGCTTGGAGACGTATACCACAGCCCACTTTTTATTACCCTCTCACATGGAATGCCCTGAGGGCTAATGAGTATTCAAACTGAGGCTTTTGACAAACTCTTAAGCATGGAACTTTTATATGATAAGTCTCCCTCCTGTCACTCACAAAGTGATTGGCCAGTAGCAGCCACTAGATTTTAAGATGGCCTAAAGCACTTCGGGAATTTTATCAGTTATCAGAAAAAGGGAGCACCTAAGACAGTTAGGGAGGCGTACTAGAGTGAGTGTTCCTGGCTGTGGAACAATCTGATATTAAAAGGATCTGAGATAGCCAAATTATGGAACTTTGTGAGCCCAGCATAGGGTAGCAGAGCGGCTATGTGACAACAAACTCCATGCTTTCTGTCCCTATCATGTTAAGATGCATTAATTTCCCTTATTGGACTTGTTTAAGCCATGTAATACAAACAACATGTGCAATTAACATTTAATTGGAGCCACAATTCAAATACGAACACTCTGGTCTCTTAAAGGGACGAGCAGCTCATGCTCCCTTGCCTAGGGCCTGTGCTAGAGCTTGGCAGCAGTGGCTACACGCCGGAGAGGACCTTTGAATCCTTACCGAAGTCCCAGCGACGGTGCCTCACGTTCCCCAGGGCTGTAACTTAGGATCTGAGGAAGAAACTACAAGGTCCCATGTACCTCGGGTGAGGTCTCCTAGGAAACAAGGTGGGAATTAATTAGGATTTATCATAGGCCTTGGAAATATAAAAGAATTAGCTCAATAATGTTTAGATCTCCCCAGATGAGTAAGATCTGTTCAGATGGAGACGGTTTATTCTTTCAAGCGTATCCAATTGTACCCTGGATTCTCCTCTCCCCCCAAATCGTACTTTTCGAAATACGAGGTCTGAAAATTAAGTTTGTGAACTCATCCTAGAAAAAGTGCTATACACCTCACTGCTGAATATCACTGTGGTCACCTTCGAAGTACTCCCCTTGGGAAGCTATGCACCAACCCCAGTGCCTAGTCCACCCTTCAAAGCAATTTTGGAGCTCTTTTTCTGAAATGGCCATCAGACCTGTTATCGTATTACCCTTGCTGTCCTGAATGTCATCCTTTCAATATTTCCTTTATTTTCTTTAGCTCCTTTTAGACCTTCCATATTCCAGAGTACCAGCACACTGTCCACTGGCGTGCTTGTGGAATTCACTCTATGCCATTTTCTAACAGCATCTCTCCAAGATGCCTCGGTCTGCAGCTCCTTTCACTATGTTTTCCAACAGTGGATGGCGTTTCCCTAGCTACACATCAATGCCTCCCTGGGCCCAGCATTCCAACCGCTAGAGAAATAGAGGGTTGCAAGGTTACAAAGTTTCTTTTGTGAAGCACCCTTCTTCATGAAGAAAATGAGTATATGAACAGATTCCCACTGTTCCACCCCTGTTAGAAAGTACCCCAAGTCCTTCAGTGTACAACAAGATTAATTTGGGAAGTAGGGACAATCAGACCCCAAAACCCACCCTAGTAGTGAACTGCCATGCTTGGCAAGAAGATGTCATCACAGGATGAAGACAGCTGTATGAAATTGTGGCCTGTGGTTTCAAATACTGTCCCTGATCTTCCTCAAAACCTGATACTACCATAAATTCAGTCATGTTCTTTGTGTGGGGAAGTTGCTTTAAATGACATGGAAGCTATGCTGTGGTAAACTCAGAGAATTTCAGTAAAGATAGGAAAAGAGAATTGAGACAAGATTAATTTAGGAGGATAGAATTGCTAGTCCATGGTATCTAAAAACAGGTCTTTTTGGTTCTGAATTAGCAATCTTGATTATATAGGTGTCATTGAAGAGGAAACCACTGTTTCCCCTGCCTCATAGAATGAAGCCATCCTCTTGCAGCATCTTTTCTACAAGGAAGGTTTCATTGTGTAGGATTTAAGGGCCCTCAGTTGCCTTTGTCATTTCAGGTTCGGGACTTCCTTATAAGCAGCTTTGCTGTGTGACTGTAGCCAGGACTGAGGCGAGGCAGGCAACGTATGTATCCCCATTTCCCACAAGTGCAGGGCAGACCCCTAAAAGTGACCGTCTCCTTACATTCTGTGCCTCACTTGCCTTAGTCCTGGCCCTGGAGTAGCTCCTAACTCACCAGGCTGGCAGGAAAAATAACTCTCCAATTACTGCCAGTGGGCAGTAATGCTGTAAGGAATAGAAAAATGGAATACGTTTAGTATGACAGGGTAGTGGGGTCAGCAAAAGGGAAACAGCTTATTAGTGTCTATTGAAGGCCGAGTTCACCTAATAGCATTCAGACGAAAAACTCTTACGAAGTTTGCAAATGTTTTTTGTTTCTAAGTGTATATGTAAATATAGAAATCTCTGTTCCAAACATGAAGCTGGTTGTTGGTGAATGCCATCAGACTCCTATGGGTTTATTTAAAGCACTGACATCAGGTTAAGATCTGGTCTCTTGCATTTAACCAGGGTGACATCCTATGGCTCTGTGTGAATTCACTTAGACCAGGGTCAGCTAACTTTTTCTACAAAGGGCGCAAGGTTGTAAATATTTCAGATTTCTCAGACCATAGGGTCTGTAACTACTACTCACTTTATAGTTCCAGCACAAAAGCAGCCATAGGCTCCATAAACGAATGGGCACAGACGTGTGCCAGTAAAACTTTATTTCTAAAACTAAGGCCATACTTACTTGGCCTGTTTGCCAGCCTCTGCCTTAGACCAGAAGGAAAGTTTCACCTCAACCACTTAATTTGCTTTTCTAGAAGAGAAATTATTAGTGGGTGCACTTCCAACATGTACAAAAGAGGCTAAAAATATTTCTAATACAGCAATGACATTTCTTGATCAGGTCAGAGTAGTTGCATAAAATGGTCCCTAACACTTGCTATTGCAGGACGGATGCCATAGCCCAAAGCAGGCAAATCAGGTAACAATTACAACAGATCTGTCTAGTTACAGGGTGGAGCCACAGGGGTTCTCACCTCTTTTCTCTTCTGCCCTTGCAGGCCTGTTCCTTATTCTCGGCTTGATACTCTACCCCGCTGGCTGGGGCTGCCAGAAGGCCATTGCCTACTGTGGACACTACGCATCGGCCTACAAGCCTGGAGACTGCTCCTTGGGCTGGGCCTTTTACACCGCCATTGGTGGAACAGTCTTCACCTTCATCTGTGCCATCTTCTCCGCACAAGCAGAAATTGCAACCTCCAGTGACAAAGTACAGGAAGAAATCGAAGAGGGGAAAAACCTTATCTGCCTCCTTTAATTTGGAAGAGACATGACTGCCATTTTCTTCCTTGTGTAACCTTGTGAAACAGTCCACCACGGATTTTGTCGTTTGCGTCAAGTGAAGAACTAGCCTTTACCTACTGAAGCCACATTCCACAGCCCTGAGCCTTATTAGGACTGATGAGAGGCAACACCTAGCTGAGCGAAGTGACTGCACAGGAGGGCCACAGTACAATTACAGGAGACGGAACATGAAGCTAGTACAGAAGCACTGACATGTAGTTGACAAGTTCAGTCACAGTGCATTTCCCCCAGGGCTCAATGAAGGATAATGATCTAAGTCATTAAAGCAGCATTTCTCTGCTAACAGAAGAGACTGTTAGCCAGACTTGCTAGCTGTGTTTCTGTCACAAGGTTGCAGGCCTGTGAGCATCTCTGTCTCAGAATGAGGTGTGGGGTTGGTGTTTTTGTTTCCTCCTAGTTCTTTCAGGTTGTCTCAGTTGGAGACTATGCCCAAGACCACACACTTACTGGGGGACAGGGCGTGTGGTAAAGGGCATAGCAAGACACTGCCTTTGCTTAGCTCACCGAAGGGGTCAGCGGGAACAGTGTGGAATCCTGTTGTGGAACTTATTCTAGGCTTAATTCCAGGGTAAGTTGAATCAACTGAACTGTCCCTCTCAAGATTAAAGAAAGAATAAGAACCATGAGAATAAAAGTACAAAATCCTGCTAGTGGAGACCAATTCATTCCGCTTCCCCGTAGCACCAGTACTGGCCCCGTCTCCTCCTCCACCAGGGATCACACATTTTTCTCCTAGAGTTGGGATCATGCTTTGACTGCCAAAGGAAACCTCGCTGTTTCCTCATTCCAGAGACACAGATCTCCAAGCCAGCTCTGGCTCATTCATATGTTCACTGGGAGAACCTGCCAGAATCCGGCACTTGCGGTAGACCTTTTCCCACTGTTTGGTAACCATGCTGTAGTCAGCTATATTTCCGACCCTAACAGCAGCATTAAAAAAAAAAAAAAAAAGGAGTTACTCACCAAGCTAAGCTTTTCTAGTTACTGATGTTGATCCTGAAAGCAGACTGAAATAATATGAAATGGCTGCAACTGGTGAGTTGGATCGGAGGCTTTTCCCAGGAAAGCACAGAGTAGAAAGGTAATGCCAAAAAAGAGCTAGACCCAGCTCAGGGCGCCTGCCTGTCCCTAGGCCTTGGTTGGGATGAATGGGACACCCCAAATCATGCTAGTCTAGACCCCCAACACCATAGCTGTTAAAAACCACTGAATAGGAGGAATACGAGTATGGCAGAAAGGAATTATGTTAAGAACAGATTGTTGACCCACGCCTATTTTTCTAATACATTTCTATCAATCACCTAATCGCCTCAGTCTAAAAATCTAATATACCTGGACCATTACTACTACCAGAAAAGTCTATTTATTATTGCCTGCGTTTGTGCTTAAAGTTTTGTGAAGGGCTGGGCTTCTCAATGAACTCCAAGAAGGCAGACATATTTGCCTTGGATTCTGTGGATTCTTTAAACCTGTGTGCTAATTCAACAATGTTACATTAATTGTGTAAGGGTTTTTGTATAGTTTTCAAACATCTGTGGTGTAATGATCTTTGTTAAACATGTATTCTGTAAAGTGCCATAGTCTTTTTTTATGTGTAGCATATTTAAAAAATATATATATATATATTATACATACACAAGTCTGTGTGAAAGATGTGCAATAACAAAGGTGTATGTATGTTATTTTGTTTTTGTTTTTGTTTTGGAAACTGGACAGGAGTCAGAACAGGGATCATTGTTTCTGTTTTGGCAAAGGAAGAGTTAAACATTTTTGCCTACATGGCCTAGTCACTAACCCATAACAATTTTAATGCTACACAAACCTATGTGAAGAAAAGACTGGTATGAAATCACTTTTTTTTTCTGGGTCTAAATTAAAATAATCATAGATTTATGTGAAAGTTAAGCCAGCAAGCCAGGCCCAGTTAATGCTAGTCTTTCATATGAAATGTGAAGCTGCCCTGTTGCCTTTTCTGTTAGTGTGATAACTAGATGGTACATAATCACTAAGGAGCTATTTCTTAACATGCTTTGATAGACAGTGTTAATGCTAGACCACTATGTAAGGGCTGCTCTCACACCTTCTTAGCCATAGAGTCTGCCTTAGAACAGACCTCTTTGTGCAATAATGTGGCCACTGGAAATCCCTCGCCTGCATCTGTATTTGGGCAGCAATGACCCCCCAAGGGCCCAAAGAGTTAAAGGCACGACTGGGATTTCTTCTAAGACTGTGGTGAAACTCCTTCCAAGGTTGGGGGGTCATTAGATGCTTTGAAGGAACTCAGCACCACTTGATATTCAACAGCCACTTGAGCCAAATATAAAGTGTATTTACCCCTCATGGACTCAATTTGAGCCTTCAAATTTGTGGTTATCCTGTTATATTGTAAACTGATACATTGTTTGTCTAGCATTGATTAGGTTCCTATGCATATGTATTTTCACAACGTGTTCCTTTCCTCTCCCCAGATCTGAATTAAACCTGATTTTGCAAACTCATTCTGATTCGTTCAAATCTATTGGTTTTAATGATCTATATAATTTGATGAAGAAAATACCTATAGCCAAATTTTATTTTGAACACTAACTTCTATGAAATATTGATAGGAAAAAGATATTCAGGAATTTTAACTATTCCATTTACTAGTAACATATATATCCCTACCTTAGGTTAGCTTAAACTTCAAGGTAAGTACTGTATATATTTCTTTCTTGGAGAAGCATCAATGTAATTATAAAAAGAAACCCTCTCAAAATCTATACAAATATCTTAAAGTAAAATTAAGAAATATGAAAATGCTTCAAAACATTAGAAAGGCTTTACCAAGAAATGTAAATGTGTGTGTGTGTGTGTGTGTGTGTGTGTGTATATATACACACACACACACACACACACACATATATATACACAAAGAAATATGTTCAATAATGACAAAAAAAAGTCAACTGAAGGGCACACTCTGTTCGTCCAACAAAAATACCAAAATTAAAGCCAATCATGTAGCAGTTTCACATACACATTTCCTGAAGGTAATCCTGCCCATAAAAAAACCTCATTTAGAAGCAGAATTCTAATTTATAAACTCAAAAGATGACACAACCCTTTTCATAAACTCTTACTCAATTCTCCATATCCCATGAAGCATTTATATGACAGAATAAACAAAAATGGCTATTTCTTTCCCTGATCTAGGGCCTGTGACAACTCAAACTACATTTATGCTTTGGTTTCTAAATACACCTGACACCTGCCAGGTTTCTAATAGAAATAAAAAGTAAAAGCTGAAAAAAATGATTGAAATCACTAAAGAAAACATTTCCAAACAGATTATGATCTAAATAATCCAAGCAAAATTTGAAATTTTCAGTTGCTTTTATAGCTGTTATTACATCTTTCTCAATAGTTAGTCCACAAGAGAATAGACCCTGGCTTTAAATTTCAACAGAGGCTGGGGAACCCGCACGTGTGCTTCCCACTTCACCCTCAGTTTTTACTTAGCAATTCCGCTACTGGATGAACTTTCCATGATTGATCTTCCTGGAACACACTGCATTGAACTTATTCCTAGCTCTCAAAGTCTTCACTTAACAAAGAACCACTTAAGAACAGTCTTGACTATCCTGGACATTTCCTTTAAGTGGGTTATTTCAGTAGTTGCCAAAAATTCAGTACCTTTTTCAACTCAAACACTTAAAGAAGAAGGACATCAAAGCAAACTTTTAGCCTACTCTTCAAAAGCAGCAAGAACCAATTATTGTCTTTATTTCAGAACCCCTATCAGCTGCCTAGTCATTTGGCTGCAGCCATCCTATTGCTGTCCCCACTACTATCTTCTTCCTTGCAGCTTCTTCCTCACCCAGGAGAATTCTGCAATATTAGTCTTTCAGACGTAAACTGTTTATTTTGTTTAGGTACACAGGATGTAGATAGGAGCATAAATAAATACGAGGAAGTAGCAAAACCACATGGGAAAGAAAAATCATCAAAAAGCATGTAGACAGTAGCAACTCTTTGGCTTCTTATAGCCAAGTAGCCTGAAAAACCTAACACCTGTAAGCCAGCAGTCCCAGTGCTTGTGTTTGGTGGAAACCATTATAATCTGTCCTCTAGAGGAGAAAGCCCGAGTTAGGGCAGTGATGGTGAAAACAATGAAATGAATTAAAGATGTCAGGGGATGGGCATGGCCAGCTTGCTGACTGATGAGTAGGAGAGGAGAGAGTCCAGGATGACTCCCAAGGTAATTTGGGCACAGGATGGAAAGTGATGCCACCACCAAGCTCAGGATCCAGGAGAAGCAGAGACAGGGAGATGGTGAGTTTCTGCCTAGGCTGCCAATGGAGAAGTCCTGTGTACAGCTAAAAACAGGCCGTGGAGAGAACACCGGGTTGGAAATAGAGATTTAGAAGTCATCAATATACACAGCAGATAAGAGTTTTTAATTACTGTGTATCTTCTATGTGCAGGTACTGTGCTGGGCACTTGATATAATTCAGTTATTCATCAAAACCCTATTAGTACAAATGATTATTCTCATTTTATAGGTAAATTAACTGTCACTAGGTAACAACTGATTTAAGTAATTTGCCCCAGGTTAGTAAGAAGCAAAGCCAAGGCTCAAACACAGGCTTGACACCAAAGTCTATATTCTCAAACAGCTGTAGTTTCCTTCTACCTAGAAGGTACAGGGTGAAAAGGCGGCCAATACAAACCTTTCAGGACACCAACATCTCTGCATAGTAAAAACTCTCAGAATAGCTTCCAAGTATAACTCCAGAAAAACACACTATAAGATGACAACTGATGAAAACACTCATCTTTCCTCCCTTTCAGAGAAAAGCCTGGTAATGTTTCATACTTTTGAAGATGACACCATGTGTCGCAATTCACTGAATCCTAAAAACACACCAAAAATTCATCAAGTATATGACAGTGGTTATGACAAATGACAGTTTGAGTTATTATTTTCTTATTATAAATAATCTCTCATCCAGGATAAGCAGCTATTATGATTACATAAAAGGCACATCTTCATAGTTGACCTGAGAAATAAGGATTTGCCTTCAACTAAAGTTTCTCCACACACACAAGCCAATGACCATTCAGTAAGTTAACACTGCTGAAGCGCAGACAGCAGGGTACTCACCCACACGTTGTGGAGACAAGGCCTTGGTTTGAAGACATCAAAAATACATGTTCTGATATTTTTTTCTAGGATCCATTGTCCCTAAAAGATGGATATGAATTACTAGAAATGTGGAAGGATGGATAGAAACAGAGATTTGGGGGGAGGTGGCAGCATGTGGCAGCAGCAGCCCCACACTCGGCAGGAGTCAGGGGGCCTGGCTTTAGTTACCCCTCCCTAGCCCTTCCCCACCACTCACTGAGTGACCGGGACAATTTCCTACTGCTCTATAAAAATGAGGACAATAAAAATTACATCACAGGTTTTGTGTGAGAATTAAGTGATGTATGTAAAGCATTTAGTATGGTCTGATATACAGTAAGTCTTCAGTAAGTAAAAATTATAAGAAAATTAAGAGAATCTGCTGTTTGTCCAGACTATCACTTAGAATTGATCTCAAAAAGAGCTGTTAAAAAAACTGTGAAGAATAATATAACCTGTTGTTAAAGCCAATCTAATTTTATCTCGAGAAGCTCAATAGATTGGCTACCTATGGCCACCATTTTTTTTTCCATCCTGTACTATAAACATCTTTAGCTTCAGATTTTCAGGAAGTAAACGTCTCTGTGATGCAGGATACACCAGTTAGCAAAACTAAAAACACAGGTCGTGTTGGGCGAGCCCATTATGGGAAACCAGAATGCACAGAAAACACATCTCCTGATCATTTGTCAAAACTTATTGGTGTTGAAGACTTTTTAGAAAGGGGCATCCAATGTTAGTAGAGTGTGGATAAAGAGAACCTTTTGCACACTGCTGATGGAGACATAAATATAATTTTCTGGAGAGCAATTTGGCAATGCACATCACAGGTCTTAAAAAGTATGCTTATGCTTTGTCCCAGAAATTTGTCCTAAGGAAAGGAAAAAAGTCTGGGCACCGAAATTTAGCAACAATATGTTCCTTGATAAAATATTTATAATAAAAAAATTAAAAATCAGAACCTGAAGGAATAACAGGACTTTGAAAAATAATTTGATACATGCATATAAACATAGCTGCTATACAGCTACTAACTGTTACAGAAATATATACAGCAATATGGGAAAAAATTCAATATATATATTTACATCATAATTCCAAGATTACAAACCTTTGTTAGTAAAATTCTCCAGCTGACAGTAACAGGGGAAACCACCTCAAGGTAGCTCAGGGAGAAAACAGAGTAAGAATATTACTGGGATAACAGGATGAAAAGTAGGTGAGCAGTCAGGCCCCGTACAGGAAATGGAAAGCTTTTAAGACACTTTCCATGTCCTTCCATCCCACTTGTCTGCGTATCTACTCCATTCTTCATTCTCACTGCAGTTTAACTTTTTGATGACTCCTTCCTCATGGCAGAATACTGCTATCCATATGTTCCAATTATGAAACAGGATAGTTCTGGACAAATCTATACTCAGGATAAAATTTAATGAGCCCAGCATGAGTCCACTACAGCTAAACGACATCTAGAACCAATGTGGTCTTCAGGGCCCAAAGAAATGAGGCTTGTGAGAGCTAGATAAACATTCGTAAAAGATCAATTACATGTAGGGAGAAATCTTATTTTTTAATTTTAGGAAAAAAGTTGTCTTCCTAGAAAATTAATGGAAAAATATAAACCAAATTTTAATAGTAGTTACTTATGAGTGTAAAGTTATGAGCGACTTTATCTTCCTTTGCTTATAAATATTTCCTATAATTTATATTGAAGTGTATTAATTTTATAAAAAGATAATTATAAAAGCTAAACTATCAGGTCATTGTAATGCTATGGGGTGAGAATAGGATTTTAATAATCCACATTTTTTATATCCCTTAACTCTATAAAATATGTATGCCTAGAAAAAGAATGGAAAACAAATCCAATAACACATTAGCAGTGATATTCCCTAGGTGAAAGAATTACATATTATTTTTATTATTTATCATTTTCCATATCTGTCAATAGTTTTACAACAGGTATATATTACTTTCACACTAGAAAAAAATAGTTTGAGGGATGTGTATGCCCAGTGAGCTGTTTTTATGTAGGTAGATGACTATAATATTGTACTCATTGTGATCACCAGATAAAAGACAGTGATTTTTGGCATTATTTTTCCTAGACTCAAAACACCTGAAGAATACTAAAAATTGCCAACAGTAACAAATACCACAACCACAATTTATCCTGAGAATCAATGATCCACAAAATATTTTTAAAGTTCTGGAGAATTTTAGGATTATATCTAAGTGTTGAAAACAACTGAAGAGTTAAAGAAAAATTTCATGCTAGGATTCTATAAATTAGAACCATTTAAATGTAGAGAAGATTAATACTCAGAGTAATCTTATACAACTATATTTAACATTACTAGGTAGAATAGGGTTAACTATTTTCTGGCCCTATTAGAAAAAAGATAAAATTGGGGTTTAGTGGCAAGATGGTTTTAGCTACACCATCAGTCATGCCAAACCCAGAAAGATAGCTGAAAAACAAATCAAGATTTAGATACACATAAAATTTAACATTCACTGCATTCCTACTTGTGGTTACCATGTCCCTTGAAATTTGAAAACATGAACAGTGCTAATGAAAACTCTACAGGTTAACTTTTGTCCTACCCAAACCACGAAGTTAAACTGTAAATATGGAACCCACAGGGAGGGTGGTAAGAACTCTAGCAGAGAGTCTTTCCCTGTTTTCCTAGTATCTTTAAATTAAAGGTATCTAGGGCAGATTAGTGGCAATGCTTGGTTTAAAAAATTTCTACATACTTCTTCCTACCTATCTATATACTGTAATATAGCCCTAAAAAAAGGTTTAACAACACCCATCAATACAAAAAGTATGCTGTTTTTTGTAAAATATACTCTAATTCTAGTGGAACTACTTCACTTTCCATAATATTTAACCATTTCTAATGTTTTAAAACATTTATTCTACCCTAAATAAATTTATAATATGGTACTTGAAAATCTATCAAATTTGTGTTTACTTTTAACCATCCCCAATTATTTCTACATTAACCACTTTTATTTCACCTCTAAAGGTCTTAATCATGTGGAATCAACAAATTCTTTCAAACGTTTTCCTTAAGGAAAAAAATGGAAGGAGATACAATGAAATGGTGTTTGATAGCCATGGTAATTCTAAAAGGAAAATAGGAACAAAAATGCAACAAGTTCTGTATATTAACAGTCTAAACACAGATTTTGCCAATAAAGATAAAATTAAATGCTAATGTCAATGTTTTCAGAAAAAGATATACCAATAACTATAAAAGCATTATGCTACAAATGATTTACAGCAACAACTAATAAATTTAACAAATTCCCTTTAAAATGCAAACCATACATTATCTCAACATGATTTATAGAAGATATATCCAATGACAATCCAAACTCACTTTTTTTAAGATAACACCCAGAAAACTGAAAATGTTGTTCCTATTTTAATATAACATGTATTTCTCAAAATAAGATTCACCATGAACATTATTTTAGATTGTATTTTTACATCCTCTTTAAATAACCAAATAAAAAACCCAATAATACACAAACAGGTACTTCCATCGGTATGTAAAACAGCAATCAGTAGGGAGGTTAGGGAACAGAACACAAGTTAAGTCAAATCAATACAATACTAATACAAAAACATCCATTTTAACCCACTAGGAAAAAATCTGAGCCACAAAACACATTTTCCATTTTGAACCTCACTAACTTCTAGACAGTCTGAGTATTTTGACCTTAAAGTGGTAAAAATATTTAATACGAGTGAAGCTCAAGTTCCACTACCTATGATGGTCTAATACAACAGAAAAGTTGTCATTTTATGTTGCTGACAGTTTTTAACTAAGTCTTTTATATATTTATTTTGTTTAGCATGTGATAGAATTATACACAGATTATTTTTTAATCAAATGTAGAATTTCTATTACATTAAACCCTCAGGATAATTTCTGCCTCTGAAGTGCTAATATAGTATTTAGAATTATACAAACAAACATCCAGTAAACAGCATTTTATTTTGACACTGTGTTAATACAATAAATATACAAAACTGCCAAACCACTGAAAACATGCAACATTAGAGGGACAGATGGAGGGCATTTATATAGAACCACGACAGTCACCGTGATGGCAGCGCCGTATTACTCACTAACAAAATATACAAACATCCCTAGATAAATGATCCAAGTCCCAAATTACAAATCACTGAGCAATGATATTCCAGTGTTCAGACTTTAGTCTGAAATAAACTAGCCAACTTAGTATTGCAAACTGAAAAATGACGTGGATACTTACAATGTCAAGACCATTTCATGATTCTGATGATCCTGGGTAATGGTAACATTAAATATAAAACACTAACAAATGCCAATCTTTTGCTGAGTGAAAATGTGATTATTTACTAATTATGAAGAGAATAGAAAATATAAGAATTTAAAACCCCTATACTTTATCTAACTGTGAGCACTGCTATCATTTTAATGCACATTTATGTTTTTAAAAAACAATTTTCTCCCATAAGCTTGTATTAACCCAAATAACTGGATTTTATAACTTTTTCCCCATCTATACAAAAAAGATACTGTTGGTTATAATTATTCTTCGCTATTTAACAGTGCTACCTTTATGGGTTTCTGCAGAATAGAGAAAATCATTCCTATTACTGAAAGAATCTCGGTGTTTTTCAAGTCTCTATGCTTTATCTTTCATTTCTACTTTAAAAAAAATTAAAATGGACTTGAGATATAAATTAATGATGGACATAATTGTTCTTGTTGTATTTTGTGGTTAATGTTTTGAATGTTTTTAAAATCCACAATTAATACAGCACATTGATGAAACACATTTTCAGTAAGATTACGGTTCTGAAAAACTTCAACTGGCTTATTCAAGAAAGGAGGTGGAGGGCCGGCCGAGTGGCGCCATGGTTAAGAAAGGAGGTGGAGATTATCACTAATCAGAAATATTTGTAAACAGCTTCCAATTCATACTATGAATCCTATTCCATCAAAATAAAAGAAACATATTCCAAGTATATTACTTCAATAAAGTCCCAAATAAATCAAATGTAATCACCATCTGAATGGATCCACATTGCCTAGTGTCACTACCACGCAATGCTTCTTTTTTAAGTAGTGAGAACTCACCACCCACCCCCAACACGAAACTCCAGGTTCGGGGAGAAGAATAAAAGTGATTTAACCATTTGTTGTGCCCATCTGAATTTTTTTTTCTTTTTTACGGATCTGCAATCTCAAATAATATAATCCAATAGGCTATTCTTGCTTAAAGTCAAGTTGAATAAATCACTACCTATTATTCTTTAATCTTAAATTAGCTAATGACTTCCAAAAACAGTACTTTACAAGTGTCTTTTAGTTATTTAATCAGTGTTAAAAGTGATTCACTTTCAACCCAAATATACTATAAGAATGAACTCCTGTGCTGCATAGTAACAATTTTAATGTGATTATATTAAAAATTAATGCATTCAACTGTATAGTTTCTTGCTTGGTACAAATTAAATGTTTTATTTTTTCTATTGCTGAAAAATTTTAATGTATTCAGTATGTCTCAAAAATTAAAAGACTGAGGTGCAGTAGGGATTCAAGTATATGTAAAATGCCAGAGTCTTTTTATTTTTAATGCCACTAGAGATGAGAGGCTAAAAGAAAAATCACTTCAATACTACATGTTCTTTTTGGACAAGGAGTTAGGCTAGACTTTAATACCTGTTAAAAATTACATACACACCCCAAAAAAGAGCTGCCAAACACAATCTCAGGTCAATTAAAAAGAGTAGCCACAAGAATATACCAAAGTTTCCATACAGTAATAGTTTACTATGATACACATACTGAAAATTTGAAGAAAAAAAAACAAACTGATATTACTATCACTACATTCTATTCCATCACTTTTCTATCTTTTCTTTTGGATAATGCACTGCATATTATATTTTTGTATTGCACCCCAAAAAATTTTTATTTAAAAGAAACTATTACAGAAAATCATTTCTATGATTCTATAAACACCACCCCAAACCTACAACAATAAGCAGTGCAGAATCCAAAATACTAATTCTTTTAATTTAAGAAATGCAGTGCCCATGCAAGATCAGAGACTGATATCAAAATATCAACGACTCTGAAAAAAAGAAAATAAAAAGGTAAAAGTTACATTATCTACTATAAAATGCACACAGGTTCTTCACTGGTGACTGAAACTGCTAAAAAGCAAGCCAATTTAAAAATCCACAAGTCCCTGATGGCCTATTTCTCTCAATATAAATAAGGAAAATGGAATGAAGCATCACTTTACTGCTCCAATGTGTTATCCTTGTATCTAAGATTCTTGAAAGAATGACTTAAGCTAGTACTAAATGCATTTCTAATCATAAGTGTCATATTAATTTCAGTGTCTCACCACTGAAATAATGTGCTGAACATTCATCCCCCAAAAAATATGGAGAATATTTATTTAGCATGTAGTACTTTTTTCTGCAAGGGGCACTAAAATATTAAGAAACTTTTAGGTAAATAAAAAGACAAGGAAACATTTCTGATTTTCGCCCATGCATAAGTGAATTGGAAATATACATGCTGTGTTTACTGTGTGTTTTGAACATAAAAATATTTATAGAGTACAGTAACTAGAGAAAAAAGTACAGTCGAAAGGTAACAGTGTATTGTTTGAAGATCCTCTAAATTTGGTTACCCTTGAAAGCATTTTGAGCTGCACTGGTTGCTGCAGTGGAAGCTGCGTTTGCAGCTGCGGTCTGGACAGTCTTGTTGGACATCACACCTGTTGCAAACTCTTGTTGGGCCTTCTCAAAACTAGCACCTGTTGTGCGATATAGTCCATGTACCTACAGAGGCACAAAAAGTGAGAGAAGATAAGTGCTCATCTACACACTCGTTTTTAGCAGCTCTTCAATCTCAACGTTACTCAGAAATAAAAGGACTAGAGTCTAGTCATGATTCTAAGATCAAGAACATCAGCCACCATATTGGCACATAATATTGTATTGAAATGTTTTCTTAACACAGGTTTGTCCTTTTTATCCCCAATGCAGAAGAGATAATTATGCCTATGCCAAACCAAAAATAATTTAAAGAACTTAATCAAATGCAAAAAAACTGTCTTTTGATGTACCTAATTAGTTAAGATATTACAGCATTATAAGAAAATGGTTTAACATAACAAGAGACATTCTGACTTTAATATATTAATTTACTACCCTAAGACAAATAAAAAAAAATAGTACCTTATTTGTTTCTGTGTTGGCTACATATATACCACTGGCCATACTATAATCAAATGTATTTTATTATTTAATGTACCAAGCATTATTTATGTCCTTAAAGATACTTCCGCTATCCACTCTGTATACCACTTAACCTTTTGTGTGTGGTCAAGTTTTAAAGGGTGTACAAAGCAACACTTCGATGAATTGTCTGTCCATACTGATTCACCATTCAAAACATGGGATTTATTTTTATGAGTAGGGTTCAAAAATACTGTTAGCATGTTTTAAGATGCATAAACTATGAAGTGCACCAATCCGTATAACATCAGCCACTCAATTTAATACAAATTTGAGAAGAAATAATAGAGCAAATTAGAACCAATATTTATTTATTATATGCCTACAAACTTGGGGGGAGGGAAGATGAGACAGAAAAGTGAACTTGTAATTACACTGCACTGTGATTAGATCTAAATTAGAAGCCTGACTGGAATGCAATCAAAGCATGTTTGGAGTATGGGGGCAGTGCTCCCAAGTCAGTCCTTTTCCTGAGCCTGGATAGGAACTGGTGATTATGGAGTAAATATGGAGTGAAGCAAAGGAGGATGAGTCAAAGACATTCAACTCAAGCTCAGGTACCTCGAAGTTGTTTAAAAAAGACAGAGAACACAGAGGATAGGCTGGTTTGGGGAATAAAGGAGGTGCTGAGTTAAGTTCTAAACATTCATACATTCCACAAATGTTTACTGAATACCTACTCTAGGCCTGCCACAGCAGGCAGGTGAAGATTTGGTTTGGAGCTCAAGAGAGGAATGGGCTAGAAACAATGGAAACCACTGGCACATAGATGGTAGATGCAACTTGGACATAAATGAAACTTTCCATGGAGATAGAGAAAAGAGTCAAGTACTAACGCCTTTATTTAAGATACCAATATTTAAGAGGTACCCACAGCAACAAGAAATGATTAGGAGAAGAATGGAAAAAACCAGGGACCTTGAAACACAGATGTCAAGGGAAGAATGCATGGTGAGGAATGAAGAGCTGTCAGGGTGAAAAGATAAAAAATACCCAGACAGTCTTGAGCTCTTCTGATACAGTGGTGCAGCAAATGCCATATTACCGTGGATCTCAGTGTAAAAGGGTCAGGGAGAAAATGAGAGGACTGACGAGCACATAAACTGGCAAACCCTAAAAGCCTTTTCTCCTAGTAACCACAGCACTACCATAAGTATATAAGTAATTATTTTTATTCCCTTTTCAAAGTCAAATTTTCTATGGAACTTAAAGGCACAGATAAATTATTACTTCTATGTTCAAGAAATTTACCTCACAATGAGTACATACAGTTAAGATTCCAGAAAATAAACTGTATTATATAAATCCAATAAACTTTCTATACTTACTAGACCAGTCACAGAGCAATGTGGTTACAGGTTCACTTGTGTCTCTCTTACCCTTTTCCCCAAGTTTATGGACATATAATAAACAAACATTTGTCCTAATTTGCTTTGTTATTTCCTTTTTCAAATTTGTATTGAGTGTCTGATGTGATAGATTTATGGGCTTCATAGTTTATTTAGAATGAAATTCATAGCCCTGAAAAGCGGAACGGCAAAATAAATAAAGGTAGGAATAAGCACATTTCTCATCGGTCTATATCTATATAGACCCAGAGAGCCACCTAGAGGGAAAAGACTACATATGTATTCAGTGTACAATGCTCAAATACAAATCCATTACATCCATGTGAATTGGGCAATTCTTTATTTAAGTACCCCAGCAAGATGATAGGCTAATTATAAGGATCAACATCTCAAAAAGCTTATCTTTTCCTGCTATGTTTCCCAGTGATATTGATAATTCATATTCCTTATGAAATCAGAAAAAAGATTTTAAGATAAACTACTGTATTTTAAAAAACTGAACAACTTAAATACCTGCTGTCTCTTCTACTTATAAGAATTGCAGTAACCTTAATATTTAGTTCTAAGAGTATCACAGAAAGAACACTAGATTTGTTACTTACTGACCCCCCTACTCTCCAGCTGGTTGGTCACCACTCAAAACCTTGTTTACTTCCCATAAAACACATTTTACGTTATATATGTTTTGCCACAATTTTTTTTAGATTAATAATGTAATGTGCCAAAAACCACTGAACTGTACACTTTAAATGGGTAAACTGTATATATGAATCATATATGAATGAAGCTGTTAAAATTTACATATAAAGATAATTTAGATGAAAATGTCATATGTACAGCATTAATAAATAAGTACAAGGTGACCTACCAAATTTGAAGATGCCTAAATTCACAACAATTTAGTTATATTAACCTAGATTTGGGATGTATTAAGTAACTAGCCTAGTACTTATAAAAAAGGATAACAAAATAAAAATTTGGAGCAATAAAAAAAAGCACACATACTAAGAATACCAACTGAGGACAGGATACAAACAACCTGCTCAGAAGGCCAATTCTTCTAGGGATTCAAAAGTATTACTGTACCTACTCTATGTCTCCTGGATGAAAATAAAAAGCTTGTGGACCAGCATTTTAATAGGCAATGTGAATCATCTGAAATCAATTTCTAATCAAGAAAGATTATAGTGTTAGATGATTGAGACAGAGGGATACACCACGCCTATACTGTGACCATAGAAAACCAGGAGAGTAAAATTATCATTGTTCTGTCCTCAATCCAAAATAAAGCCAAAAAAGGGGGGTGAACAATAACAACGCTTTCAAAGAAAATGAAAGTCACTTTTAATCTAAGAAGACTTCTATTATACATAACAGAATATTGTCAAAAAGCATTCACTATTAAACACCAATTTAATAAATGAGGCTTATTCTGGATTGTACAGTCAAATTTTTTACCCTCACACAAAATAAAAGTATTTGTAGAATAGATATTTTGGTATATAAACAACATTTTAAGCTCTTAGGGAAACTTGTTTTTTAAAGAAGTGAAATAACTTTTTCTAAACTTCTTCCAAAATTAAAAAAAAATCACTATTAATAATTATTTTATGAATCTGGACACAGAAGCCTATGAAGAATTTTTTTTAATTTCATGAAAAAAATAATCATTCAAAAGGAATACAAAGTATGTATTATCTATTTATCTCTTCCATACTAAGTTATTCTAGCTCTCACACCAATTAAAATAAGGGAGAAATTTTGGATTCCTCTCATATATATAGTTTCTTCAGATTCATTCATTTATTGTTATTTGACCTGTTTATAATACTTCCCCTGTAGCCTCAAACTAGTATTCAATTTCTATTCCCTTTTCAAAGCCAAGTTTTTCTATGGAACATTAAAGATACAGATAATTACTCCTGTGTTCAAGAAATTTATCCCACGATGAGTACATATGGTTTAACCATAGAAAGATCTTTTTGAAAATTTTTTAGAAATAATCTAAGAGAAAATTTAAGAAATCTATGGAAAGTAAGGACTATTATTATATGGATTATTATAAGGTGACGTTATGGGTAAAACAAAGTTAAATTACCATAGAGCCCATACTGGGAACTCTACCTATTCAAATTATGAAGCCTTTAGAATACCAACAAAATTCTCAAAATTGTGTTCACTGTAGTTGAAATAAATATAGACCACATAACACATTTAGCTGGGGATGGAGACACAGACTAGCCTAATAAAATGCAACAACTCTAGAATTAAAATAGTGTGCACAGATAACTTTCAGAGGGCATTAACTGTTTATGAAGAGCCTGACCCCTAGTGGTTATAAACTATGTCTACATACCCCCAAAGAATTCAAAACAAAACAAACAAAACAAAAAAAGTCAGTTTTGAGCAAGTGTGGAAAAGAAAAAAGAAAAATCAGGTGTGTTTTTATTGGATCTCAATTTCTATGAAAGCAAGAGAAATTTATGCTATTACAAATATGAAAGCTGGCTCAAATTACATCTTAACTTATATTATCCCCATTTACTGTACTTCATAAAATCATAGAAAAAATCATCTCATCTAAATTCCTTATTTCACAGATAAAGAATATGAGATTCAGTGAAGTTTAGGAACTTCAACAGCACTGAAAGTGAACACATACAGAAAAAGGTACTGGTTAACTTCAACTATGAGGTTAAAAAAAAAGGCAGGGGGGCCAACTCAAATAGAGTATGCTGCACAAATTCCATATCGATACTTTTATTTGGGTAGCAGTCATATTTCTTTTGAATGTCTGGTGTACACCAAGCACAGCTCTAAAACTTTTCCTTTCATGGATGGGATCCTGAAGAATTATGTACCTGGAGGAAAAAACTGCAGGTCCAAGACTTTAAGAGTGTTGCGCACACAGCAGTTACACAGCAGCTGCAGAATCAACATTTCCTTCACACCCTGACTCAAATAATCATCTGGGCCGCACATTCCCCACCACCACCACCACTGCAGGTTAAAATTACCTCCACATTTTTCCCTCAGATTTTTAAATGGTTGGAAACGTTCAGCCCTAGGCCTTCTTCTCACTCCATATCCACTTTCTAGGCTTCATTTTCATTAAGAAGTCAATACTTCCCAAATCAGAAACCCAGCCTAGAGCTCTTTCTTTTGCTCCCAACTTATATATCCCAAAGCCTACCAAGTTTTATACATTAATGCCCCACCAGTATTTTAAACTCTCCACACCCAAAGTTGAAAACATCTTAATGGCCAAATCTGCTGTTCTTCCTGTACGATCCACCAACTAAAAACCTGGGTGTCATCCCTAAGCCTTCCTTCATCGCCCACTCCCAAGACCAGGTCGAATCAGTTGCTAGCTGCTCATTTTCCCTTACTACAGTTACCTAACACTGCCATTTCTTAGTGCAGGCCACCATCCTTACTAACCAGCTTTCCTAACTTGTCTCCCAGTCTTAATTTCTTCAAGTACCACATCCCTGTCTCACAAATCTCAAATCTATTCCAGAATAGTCTTTCTAAAGTTCAAATTGGATCAATTCAGCTTCTCTCCTCTTTGAACCTCTTCTGTGGCTCACCACCACTCTTTGGAGAAGATTCAAACTTCTTAACAAGGTTTCCTAGTTTACAAGACTCTACAGGATATAACTACACGTATGTGTTCAGCCTCACCTTTACATGTCCTCCACCATCAAAAGCCCGCTTTTCTCCCTGCATAACTCAAGCACCAAGTTTACTTCCCACCAATTCTGAGTACTGAAGAATGGATATTCCCTCAATAAGCCATGTTATATTTTGCAACTAGACACGAACATGGTATCCCTGCTACGTGGTACCTACTTATCCTCTCCTGTCCCTGTTATATAAATATATAAATAACTCCCTGTTCATCATATCTCACCCAAGGCCACACAAAAAGACCTCACTACTAAAAAAAGATCTCCAAAATTTGGTTAGGTGTCCCTCCTGTGTGCTCCCTATACTTCCCCCATCACAGTCACTAAGTCCCTGGATTGTGATTTCCATTCATTTGTTTCTCCTTCCACACCAAAATGTGAGCTCCTGAGCTCACAGTGCACTACTTGGCATATAACACATGCTCTTCAATAGTTGTTTAACAAATGAATGGAAGCTACAACATACCACAAAACCCTCTACAGTACTCTAAATGTATTACATTTCTAGTTTTATAAAGCACCCCCAATGACACATCTGGAATAATGAAGCAATTTCCAAAGAGATGTTGTAATAGTCAGGTTTATTTGGTTAGGCTATAGTCTCCAGCTATCAACCAAACACTAAAGTAGGTGTTGCTGTGAAGGTATTTTGTATATGTGATTAGCATCTATATAGTCAGTTCACTTTAAGAAAGGGAGTGTGTCCTGAATGATTTGGGTAGGCCTGATCCAATCAGTGAAAAGACCTTAAGAACAGAACTGAGGTCTCTCAAGGAAGAAGAAATCCCACCTGTGGACTGGAGTTCAGCTTGTGCTTGAGAGTTTCCAACCCTTTCTGACTGCCCGCCCTACGGATTTTAGACTAACCTAGCCAGTCCCCACAACCACATCAGCTAATTTCTTTCAATAAGTCTCTTCATTCTATCCTGTTTCTCTGATGGAACACTGGTATAAGCACCTACTAAAAAAAGTATATACCAAACCAGACCCTGAATATAAAATGGTAAAGGGGTAAAAAAACAAAACAAAATAGAAAATTAATTTTAATTGAGGTCCTGTGTTATCCAATTTACATTCATTGTTTCATTTAATCCTCACTCCAGTCCTACGAAAGTAGTAGTTATTCTCATTCCTTCATTCACTCAACATATATTTGAGTGTCTATCACATGCTAATCACTGCCAGTCGCTGTCCCAGATGTGAGGAACGGTAGCTCGAAAGCTCACTGACTAGGTCCCCGCTCTCAGGAGCTTAGAGCACACGTGAGAACACCGGACCTGAGTGGTCCCAGGAGCCTGCTTCAGTTCACACAGCTGTATGTGAAGGTGCCAGAATTTCAACCTGAGCCATATGGCTCCAAAGCTCTTGCTCTTTTTATTTAATTCCAACCCTAATAGACATGTTCACCCTGGAAGAGCTTAACAAGCAGGGTACCCCAGAATATGTGCACTACGAGATATATAAAGTGGCTTATGCCGGTCCTACAGTAAGTAATACAGACAGCAAGTTCCCCAAGAAAATAAAGGATGACATAATCCCTAAGACATGAGATAAGAGAAAGATTCTGTGGAAGAGGCAGGAAGATTTGAGAGAGGTCTTGAAAGAACACTAGTAGGTCTTCAACGGGCAGAGAAGACGAAGCAACCCAGAAGTTAAGAGGCATCGCATGAACAAAAACTGGGACATGATGTATTTAAAGAAACTGAGTAGTACAGTTTGACTGAAGTAGAAAGTCTGGACCTGGGAGTGATGAATGGGATGAGCCCTACTTCCCACATTCCCATTCCCCACACCATGTCCACCTCAAAAATCTTCAGAGAGCTGGGTTTGTTGGGGGAATTTTAGATTAATATAGTAACTATACATAAAATGGACTGAAGAAAGTGGGGGCACCGTGTGACTAACATGTAAAAAAATCTGGATTAGCTGAGTTTGGGAATGAAAAGGAAGAGAAGGATGGAAAGATAATTTTAAAAAGTCAAGGAAAGTGACTAAAAAAGTAATGGAGGCACTGACAGAAGTAGTCAACGTGCTGACACAAATGGAATCATTTGAGAAGGTACTTAGCACGACTTCATTTATAGTAGGTACTCAATAAATGTTCCTTTAAAAAAAGCTTGAGATCAAATTTGTATACTATACAATTTACCCTTTTAAAGTGTACAGTTAAATGGTTTTTAGTATATTCATAGTGGTGTGAATATATCATCTACACAACCTAATTTTAGAACAAAAAGAAACACCCCCCAAAAAATCCCATTAACAATAAGCAGTCACTCTCTTCCCACGCCCAGCCATAGACAACCACTAATCGACCCTCTGGCTCTCCAGGTTTGCCTGCCTATTCTGGACATTTCACATAAATGGACTCATACAATATGTAGTCTTAATAAGTGTTCCTGAATATGAATCAGAACTTCTGGAAGAGAGCTAATTCTGAGAAGAAAATGATGAGTTTATGATGCACTACTGTGAGACGATGACACCAATCAACTGGAGATATAAACAGTCACCTGAAAATGTAACTAAATGTTTATGTAAAAAGCATTATATCTTCCAACTCCAAGATTCTAGGTCACTGAGGAAGGGAAGACACTGAAACAATGAGGGAGGTTGAGACTCCCAAGGAAAAAGATTATACAGCACAAAAAGCAGAGAGCTGACTGTATTTAAGAAGACCTTTACTGATAAGCTGGACACAGCAATGAAAGAGAAAGACGAGTCTCAGAGGCAGGAGAACTGAACACAATTCCGAAGACTAAGGAAGAGAAGCTGCCTATAGCGTAGAAGGCTGCAGAGTTCAGGGAGGAGGAAGGCTGAAAAAAGACTAGGATTTAGTACCTTCAGGAAACTGACTTTCAATAGTATGTGTGTGCAGTTCAGAAAAGAAATTAAAGCTTTTATGAGAGAAAATGAGTAGCAAAATTTAAATAGAAAAAACACAGCCTAGCCTTTACAGTTTTAAGGACAAAATACAAACATACAAGTAAAATGTTTTAAGAGTGCTACGTGTTGTTAAATATAAGATACAGTTATTTCTATGTATTCCTTATACATATTCTCAAGTTACTGAACAGTAAAAAAAAAAATAAAGAAAAAAATGCTGTAAGGACTTATTTTCTTCAAAGTGAGACCCACCAAAAAGTCTTTATCATTTTAAAACAGGTGTTATTCCCATGGCTACTATATCATGCTTGAACATACGTAGAATATCAAAAATATATATTCAAGCCACAATTAAACTTGATATAAACAAACAAAAACACTGATTTCTCTCACACCTTATGCAGTGATTTTTTTTTTAAGGCTGTGAATACAGCCATGGGAATTCTATAGGAAAACATACAGATAATTGGGCAGTCACTAAAAAACAAAATTCATGTCATAACACCAGCTCAGCTACTTGATACTCTTAGATAAATAGTGTCCTTAAATTTTAAATACAAATAAAATGCACACAGTATACAATAGTTTTACTTCTATTTATTAATCAGGCTAATATGTTTAATATTAAAAAAAATCAGAATATATAAAATATAATAATCCAAATTTAAAAAATGAGGTTGAGTCTTCAATTCATGAAAAAAGCCTTCAGTTAACAGAATTTTAAAATATTTCCTTTTACAGAAAGTTAAAAATGTGATACAATTTTCTAAAATTTATCTATGCATTACTTTTTATTGTAAAAAGTAATCCTCAGAGAGCAAATCTGCACAAGAACAAAATAGCTTAAGGTTACACTGAAATAAGAGCAAAATGGGAAAATGAGAACTGAACATGAGTTTCACTATAAAAATTTAGACATAAAATTTCACTTACCTTTTTAAACATAACTAGTGAGATGACTGCTGATGCTGTGAAAAGTGCTGCTATGATTATCATCATGATTCCAACAAGAATACTTTTGTTGAGGCCAGTAAGGGATGAAATCCAACCGCTATGATGTAATAAAAAGTATAATTAGGCAAATAAATCAATGCACACTTAAAAAAAAACCAAAAAAAAAAAAAACAACTAACACATATTCAGCTCTTATGAGCCAGGCAATCAATGTTCAAGTTCTTTATATGTGTTAACTCATTTAATTCTCACAACAATCCCATAAGATAATGCTGGTTTTAATCTCTATTTTACAGATGAGGAACGGAGTCACAGAGATATTCAGGACTTACCCAAGGTCACACAGCTAATAAATGGCATAGTCTGAATTCAAATCCAAACACCAAACTCCAGCCTTAAGTGTGTACAACCAGATTTTATAATTTTTAAGTCTATGAGTTCATTATTTCTTTTAATGTTCATTTTAAATTCTGCTTAATTATGAAAGAAAATATGTGCAAACCATATAACCAACAAAGGGTTAGTAACCAGAATACATAACGAATTTTCAAAGCTCAGCAGTTAAAAAAAAATTCAATTAGAAAATGGGCAAAAGATGAAGAGACATATTACCCAGAGGATACAAAAATGGCAAATAAGCACATGAAAAGGTGTTCAACATCATGAGTAATTAGAGAAATACAAATTAAATCCTCAGTTAGCTATCACTACACACCTATCAGAATGGCTAAAATAAAAACAGTGACAATACCAAACGCTGATGGGTATATGGAGGCGGAACCACTCATACATTGTTGGTGGAAATGTAAAATGGCACAGCCGTTCTGGAAAACAGGCTGTCAGTTTCTTTAAAAACAATAAACATGCAACTTCCATAAGAACCAGCAATTACAATTTTTGGGTATTTATTACAGAGAAATAAAAACCTACGGTCACACAAAAGCCTGTTCAAAAATGTTCATAATGGCTTTTTTCATAATAGTTCAAAACCAGAAACTCCAGAGTCCTTCAACTGGCAACTGGTTAAACAATCTGTGGTACATCCATACCACGGAATACTACTCAGGAATAAAAGCAAATGGACTACTACTGAGTTGTCGGAAAAGTCATGACACATTTTTGCAACAAAAAACATAGAAAAAATACATCATGACTTTTTCGGCGACCCAATAATATGCACGACAACCTGGATGAATCTCCAGAAAATTCTTCTGAGTGAAAATAGCCAAAGGTTACACACACTGTATGATTCCATTTATATAACATTCTTGAAATGACGAAATAACAGAAATGACAGATTAGTGATTGCTGGAGTTAAGGAGAGGATGGGGACAGGAGGGAGGTTGAACGTAACTATGAAAGGGCAGCACGAGGGATCCTTTGGTGATAGAAATGTTCTGCATCTTGACTGTATCACTGTCAAGATCCTGATTTTGATATAACGCCATAGGTTTGCAAGATGTTACCGACTTGAAATGTGGGTAAAGAGTACCTGGGATCTCTCTGCATTATTTCTTATAACTGTACATGAATCTACAATTAGCTCAAAATAAATACTTTAATTTTAAAAAATCTGAATTACATAAGATCTTCAAACAGGTCATCCTGCATGTACCCTCACCAGCGGACTCCTATGCTATTTCATCACTACACATGCTGTTATGCTCAATTTTAACACTTTTTTTTTCTAAGTTTGCGATAAAAAGCAAAAGAAATTATTTCAACTTCACCAGGATTAAAAAAAAACAAAAAACTTGTGCTGTTAACATAAGCAGTGTATTTATTAAACATTTAAAACATTTCCTTTCCCCAAATGCCAAAGACTAAACTCTATTTAAAATTAAAATGAATGCTACTTTTTCCTAGAACTGATTTACAGTATCTATATAAATTTTCTGTATGTACATATGCCCTTTAGATGTGCAGAGCTACTGACAGTTGTCTGATTGCCAGTCATTATTCCAATTCAGTAGGAGCAAACTAAATGTAAGTCCTCAATAAACTCCAGTGACATGTTCATTTAGTTTATGTACACAGTGCAGCCAAGTTGCCTTGAACATGCGTTTAGCTTACAAGAATTCAACTACATGCAACTCAGTTACAAGAGAAAGAGGAGAGGGAGGGATAATTTTAGAGATGTGTACTCTTCCACCCGCTGTTTTATTCAAGGACTGCTCTCTCCAGAGTGTACAAAGAGAGATGTAGGTCTGTTATTACCTTAGGAGGGTCCACAGAATCTCAGTTTCTGAGGATACCGCACCAAATGACCATTTTGCCATGCTGAGAATGATTCTCTTGTTTAAAGATATGTATATATGTGTATGCAGTAATTCCACTTTTCAAAGACACGTGTCTGTGCATTTGTGCATAAGAAAACATGTGTACACCTAAAATAGTGCTTTCCATATAGTAGGTCCATCCCCTTTTCCTTAAAATCCTCCCATTTCTGTTCTCTCCCTTCCTCAATCCTTGGCCCTCCTAACTGATCACTCCTCAGTCTCCTTTTTACTCTTCCTCATAGTGCCCATTATAGACACATTTTATTTAAACTAGATATAATGTGCTGTTTTTAAAAATGGGAACATAATTTTAAGTAGAATGATTTGTCCAAAGGTTATTTATGCTTTAGAACATTTTTAAAAAGTAAAAAAAAAAAAAAAAAATGCAATTATTACTTTTGTTTACTTTTGCTGATCTGTCTTTTCTTTGTATGCTCTTTTTAGGAAGTTGAAAATTATATAAAGATACTAGATAAACAGATTAACTAGAGTAATTAAAGTAAATGACTTACCAGTTGCCCCAGTTGTGAAATCCTGCAGCCTGTAGTACATGTACTGCGAACTGACAAATATATACGAAGAAGAACACAAAGAATCTGAATGAACTGTCACTCCTTTTTAAAAAAGGGGGGAGAGAAAAGGGAAAAATGTCATTTTTCTCAAATACCTTTACATTCACATGCAGACTAACATCAAACATTTAAAAATATTTTTTAAAATACCAGTGGCAACTACCTGAGGCTTGAAATTACAATAGTAACAAAATAATGTATATGTGAACCCTTTATCCAAATATTAGGTATTATTTCAACCTCACTTTGTCCTTTCAATTTCCAACTGCACTACAAAACATCTTGGCAAAAAATTTGTTTTCATTTTTTATTAAATAGCTTTACTGAATTATAATTAACATGCAATAAACTGCAAATATCTAAAATATACAATTTGATAGTTTGACATATGTATATACCCACGAACTTTCTCCAATCAAGAGTAAACATATCCCAAGTTGCCTTGTGTACATAGATGATCCCTCCCTCCCGACCCCACCACTGTCACTAGTTTTCATTTTAGAGTTTTATATAAATCATATATAGTATATATATATATATGTATGTATTTTTTTCTTGTCTGCCTTTTTCCACTCAGCACAATTATTTTGAGATTCACGCATATTGTTGCATATATCAGAAGTCCATTCCTTTTCATTGCTGAGTAGTATTCCATTGCATAGAAACACCATAGTTTTATTCACCTGTTGATAGACATTTAATTGTTCCTAGTTTTTCACTATTACAAATAAAGCTGCTAGAAGCATTCATGTGTAAGTGTTCATATGAATATATGTATTTCCTTTTCTCTTGGGTAACTACCTAGAAGTGAAATGGCTAGAACACATGGTTGGTATATGTTTAACTTTTTAAGAAATTGCCAAACTATTTTCCAAAGCAGTTCATTTTACATTCCCAGTGGCAGTACATGACTGTTCCAGTTCCTCCACATCTCACTAACACTTGGAATGGTCAATCCTTTCAATTTTAGCCATTCTAACAGGCGTATAGTGATATCTAATTTGGTTTTAATTTGCATTTTCCTAATAACTAATGTTGTTGAGCACTTTTTCACATGCTGTCATCCATACTAATACTTGCACAGGAAATCTTTAGCCCATCATTCCAGTTCCTCTGGAGCACCGTATTTCAGTACTTATCCTCTCCCTTCATTTGTCTTCACCACTTTCACTGGATTCTCTCTTCAGCATAAAATCTTTCTCATCTTCAAATAGCCCTCCTTTAACCCTGTCTCCACTGCGAAACTTCCACTTCCTCTATCTCTTTCCTTCCCATCAGGTAACAAACGTCCTAAAGTTCTACCACTGATTTACTTACTCCACCTCCCTTTTCAATCCACTGTAACTTGGCTTCTCACATACTACCCTCCAGAGACACATCCAAGTCATGGGCAATCTATGAATTTCCAAACTCAATTTCTCAAGTCTCGCATTACTTTTTTAATGGCATTTGACACTGAATTTCTTAAACATTCTTTGAGCTTGATTTCCACAATATTACTCACTCCTTCTGTCATTTCTCTGATCTAAACTGCTTCTCAGTCTATTTCAAGATCCACCTCTTCCATGCATATTGTAAAACTTGTTTCTTATAGGAAAGCTCCCTAGGTGATTCTTGTACAGTAATACCTCGGTTTGCAAGCATAATTCGTTCCAGAAACAAACTACTTACATTGCAAGACATCGTTCGTTTACCAAGTTAAAATGTATTATTAGGTTGGTGCAAAAGTAATGCAGTTTTTGCCATTACAAAACCACTATTACTCTTGCACCAAACTAACAGAAATGTTTGCTCATCTTGCAGAATATTCACAAACCATGTTACTGGCAATTCAAGGTTTTATTGTATCTTCTAATGTTTGAAAACCACTGACCACAGGATGAAGTCCAAATAACGTAACACAGCATAAACACCTCTTCTTAATACATATATATAACCTGTTGCGGCTGCTCTCTACTGGAAGAACATGTCTTGCTATCTCAATGCGTTTATTTACACTCTGCCTAGAATGCCCGACACAGTGCTCTTTTCTGCCTGGTAAACATGGCCTCAGCTTGTTAGATGAGTCACTAAGTCCACCTCACACTCAGAGAACAATTCTACTCCCAGAAGGAGTAGAATCCATTGGAAATTTTCTATAAAAAAGATATGCCCCTTCAGCTCCATTTATTTATTAATCATTTGTTTTTGTCTATAGACTCATAGATATTTATTTTACTCTTTAGGTTAAAATTAAAAACCATTATTATTTATCTTGTTACTCAAATTCTTCCAGCTTTTAGAATCTGTTTGCTTAAGCACTTGATCTACATTCATCTTGTATTTTCCATGCCCGAGCTCGAAAATTAGCCATTTCTCCCAAGTGCAAAAAAGCAGATTTTAATGGTTCATGTTTTCTAAATCAGTCAGATTTAAATCAAATGGTTCTACCTTTTATAGTAATTCTATCAGTGATATACTACAACAAAGTTGGTATTGACCACAAACTTAGAAAAATTACCATCAAAAAACAAATACACAATGACAATCAAATCCACAATATAAAATGCTATTTTTATTAACACTATATAGAAACCTCATGTATGCTTCCTCTCTCCAGGCTCACTAGATAAACTCACTTTTAATAATTTTTTATTGTTTTGAAGTAGATGCTTCTAAAATACATTTCTATTTCCCTGTCCCTTTGGTAGAGAATGAAGACTATACTTTAATATTTTCTTTCTTCTTGTTGAAGTTTTTAACTTTATTATTTATGTACTAAGAAACTAGAATATCAATGTGGTTAAAATTATGTATGTCATATATACTCTGAATAAGGACTTCATACATAGAATAATGTCTAAAGGCTTCACAACAGGTATTTCAGCTACCTAAGAGGGATCCTTCTACTTAGTCCCAATCTCACAGATAATATTTTAGAAGCTGAAAATGCCTAATAACAACTTCTAGCCAAGAAATCTATTAGAAGGTAAAGAATATGTTTTTTTAAAATTAAGCAGTCCCATTAAAAAGAAAATATTTCTAAAATATTACTTTCAAATACAAATGGAAGAATCGCCTTCCTCTTCTATGTGTACAGCTAGTACATATAAATGTATAGTTAGGTACTAAATTGGTCAAATGGAAACCTCAAAGTCTTTGAAACCCGTTTCGTCTACTTTCACTGTACAAGCAGGCTAAATATCTTTCTCAGTAGACCTTGTTTGCCTTATTTGCTTGGTGAGCTTTTCTGTTTCTGGACCAGGAGACAGTAAAATTCATTTTGTTGTATACTTACTGTGTACACTAATATAAATAATTATTTTAAAACACTTCAAATTTCAGAGATATAAACTCCATATACCAGCATTTACTTAACTATCTGGACTCCATCTGTCAAAATTATTGCAAATGCAAAACCAGTCAATTTCAAATTTTAAAAATGTTGTCTTGTTTTTAACTATAGAAACAGTTATTGAACAGTTCTTTATATCAAAATTAACTTAAAAAGTGAAATCTGACTATCCTATGAAAACAATTTTACAATATGGGGCTGCATTCCCTGCCAAAAGCCTAAAATTTATTAAGGACTTGTATGCAAAAAGTGAGCTAGTCACAGTGCTGAAAAGCATATTAAATATAAATAATTTCTCATATACCAAATAGTGGAAAACTCTGTCAAGTGTAAATAAACAAACTTGATCAATACAATCATCACATGAATATCAAGTGCATTTGAGATGCTTAGGGGAGAGCCAGGTAAGGCTGAGGAGCTCTGAAAGGATCAGAAGGCTCCCAGGTGAGGGCTATACCTAAGCCAGAATCAGAAAAAGGCCAGAAGAAAAACCATCATCGAGGCGTGTAGAAGGATTTCTACTGGCATCCAGAGCCAATGGCGGTGAGTCTTACATACAGGAAGAGATCAGGAAGCTGCATGTTTAAATAGCCCAGGTTGTACACAGCCATGTTAAGCCCAAGAAGAAAGTAGAATAGTGTTAGAAAAATACTATCAATTGATTTAAGCTAAGTCTTTTTAAGTTGTTATATGCCTCAGTTTAAAATGAAGTATTTATGGAATTTTGAATATTTATTCATAATACATCCACCTAAGCAATCTATTGTCTATCAGAATGAATGAATGAGTGAGTGAATGATAAAAGCTTCCTTTGACTTTGACATCCTGGCTCTTCCAGATCAAAGCCTACTCAAAAACTGAATCTCAAATAATACGCTGCCAAGTTACGGCACACCTTTAACAAAAAGTTGTCTAAATTATCATAATAAATCCCAGAAAATAGATTTATATGATCTTATAAAGTTTATTTCATATATCAGTATCAGAGATATTAATTACAACCACAGTTTGGGGAAGCAGAGAAGACAAGGCATTTCATTATTTCAGAAGAGCTAACAGAAACTTTACTTTCAACAATGACATAAGAGAGCACAACTCCATTAAAATACTAAACATTTTACCTTTGGTAACTCAGTGCGGTAGTTCAGAGCACATAGCTTTAGAAACATACTTGGGTTTGAATTCAGACTCTCCCAGTTAAAGTTGGGTAACTGCAAGCAAAATCTAAGCCTAAATCTGAGATTTTCTATTTGCAAGCTGGGAATAACAGTGGAATCTATTTTTATATGGATGAAAAAAATACATGTAAAGTGCTTAGCAGGGGATCTGCAGGCACAAAGTAAACAATCAATAAATGTTACTTGGTACTTCTATTACACTTGTACAATTCTGCACTAAAACGGTTTTACTCATAGAATTAATGTTCTGCCTATAGAAATGACATTTGGCTTCTGACAACATCTTGAGAATTTCTCGGACATGGTCGGTAAGTTCATTACTACTACTAGAACAAAGTAATATATAAAATTCTTAGTGATGTAAAGGCATTAAAACAAAAAGGAACCTATGAAGTACAGTCGTTTTCCTTGTCTTAGTTACTTTGGGATGCAAGATTATTTGAACCAATCCCATTTTCCCTCTAATAATTTTGTGCTGAAATCAATTCTTTCTCCATGAACAGGGGTTCTATAGATAGCTTTAAAAGGTA